CCAGGACACTCGCCCTTCTTTAGACGCTCGACCCCGACCTCGTATTGCCAGCAACGCGCTGGGCAACCAGGATAGGGCCCATATCACGGTAACGCCTCCTGATGTCTCGACGACAAAGACACTACGCGTAGACAAGGAGGATCGGGTGCGGCGGCAGCTCCAAGCTGCGGTGGTCGATGCTGCTACAAACCGCGAGGCGCAAGTGGTGCTGCCGTCGGACCTTGCCGAGGGCATCCTCGAACTCTTGGAACAGCGTATGGAGGAGTACAATGTTCTAAAGCATAGACTTGACGGGGCCAAGGTAGGCCAATTGTGTGCGGCTGTCTATAATATCTTGCTCATTGTTCTTGGGATCCCTTTGTCTCGTTCAATAGAGAGCAAGCAAGCAGTACATAGATGGCCTGACCGTTGCGCAGACGGAGTACGACCGAGAACTAAAGGCACGCCGCGATGCGGAGGCGGAGGTGACTCGTCTCAGAGTTTTGCTCTCAGGCCAAGCGGTGCGACTTTCAGCTATATCTGGGGATTCCAAACGGCAAGAAGCACAAAGACAGTTGTCCCGCGAGATGACTGATAGCTTGTCGACCCTGGAGAGATCGCTTTCCAAGCTCAAGGTCGAACGTGATATGACGCTGGCCGAAGTAGAGCAGCTCTCTGCTTCTAGGAGGTGAGTACTCAGTTGACTTACCATGTCGGGATCTAATTAGGTGATACATCTCAACAGTTCTACCACCATCGTGGGCGGCGAAGAGGATGCCGCCTCCATTGCTGGGTCGCTTTCAACGCGGTTCAACAAGATCAAAAATCAGTATCAGCATGAGTTGCTGCCGCTGACGGAACAGAGAGAGGCCCTCATGCGAGAGATCACCGAGCTCAAGGCGTCTCGCGATGCCTTTCTCGAGGAGACTACCATGCTCAACGCACGTAACGAGGAGCTCGCACAGCTGCACGCTCAGTATGTACGTCGCGTGGAGGCGCCAGGCATGGATTCCCAACGCGAGAACGGCAGGCAGGAGCATGACCTCCAAAACAGGACAAACCATTCGCTCGGTAGGCAAGGGACTCTCTCTTCCTCTCACACATCGACTACCGCCGCATACACCGACGACTCAGCAGAGAGCAAGTTCGTCAAGGTTATCAAGTCAGACATAACGAGGCCAGATATGATGGACACGCACGGACCGTTCAGACCCGCGAAATTCATCAAGTGGCCAGGCTCGAAAACTCCAAAGGACAACGTCGTAGCCGCTTGGCCAGATGCTAACAAGCAGCCACAGGGACGGAAGGATCACGTCTTCCAGCAAGTCAGTGTCCTTCGGGTCGCGCGATGTGATCATTGCGGAGATAAGATGTGGGGATCTCAATACCGCTGTACAAGTGAGCATACTCCCGAGGTCTCAAGTGTTAGATTCAGCTACTCATGGGGCTATTGTACACTCAGGTTGCAACATTGCTGTACATATTCGCTGTGTGCATCACGTGAACTCGTCGTGCGTACAGCAGACCATGCATAAGCGTGATGAGCCCCCACTTCCCATGGCTGCTCTACGTGCGCCCGTCCACTTACATTCGAGTGAATAACAGCTGACACTATCCTCTTCAGCGCCTTCAATGTTCGGTCGCAAGCTGGGCGAGCAAATTCAGGCAGACTCTCGTTACGAACCCCACTTGGTCCTGTGATTGTTGAAAAATGTATCGACGCCGTAGATGCTCTTGGTAAGTCCTGTCATACACTGCATGGTCCGCATCGTTTAATGACACGGTGTAGCTCTCGATTACGAAGGTATCTACCGCAAGTCGGGAGGTTCTGGCCAATCCAAGACGATCACCCAACTATTTGAGCGCGGCGACTATCAAACATTTGATCTTCGCGACACCGAGCGATTCAACGACATCTGCAGCGTCACTTCAGTGCTCAAAACGTACTTCCGTTCATTGCCAGACCCATTGCTCACATATACACTGCACGATAAGTTCATCGCTGCCGCCAACATCCGCGATTTAGCTGCGAGAAGCGAGGCCATGACAGAGCTTGTGAACGAACTCCCTACGGAACATTACCATACGACGCGCGCATTAATGATGCACTTGCACAGGTAAGCATTCTGGCGCTTAGTCGCACTGTGGCGTTTGACTGAGATTCGTACAGGATAAGCCAGAACAGCGGCAAGAACCTTATGCATGCCAGGAATCTTGGTGTTGTCTTTGGTCGTACGTATTAACACCTGCTTGCAAGACACCAGCTCACACCCACCATCACCAGCAACCCTCATGCGTTCGCGGGACCCCAATGCCGAGTTCACCGATATGGCTGGCAAGGCACTGTCAGTCGAGTGGCTTGTCGCGAATGCACCTGTCGTGTTCGAAGGGCCAGCATCCCACTTGCGAGCATCTTTATGATTATCCTATTCCCTTCTGTCTCTGGGCAGTGTTATTGCTGCGGTGTGTACCCCTTTAGACTGGCCTGTATCTCACCTTCGTTTCCTTTCGTTCATTCGCACACATTTTCCTTGAGGCTATTGGTGGATACGCCAAATATCATCTCTCGTAGGATGTACAGAACTGTTCCTGTCTGTCCCTTATCGCCGATCCTTCATTGTTCCGTCCGATTATTTGCTGTACGACCATCCCACCGCGCACGCGTCTGTTACCTCTTACGGATATACCCTGCCCGTTTATGACTATGTATCATTCTGTCGCGGTTACATTACTGTCTATACATACTCCAGGCGGCTGAGTGCTGCCCATACTAGACGACGAGTGCTCTTGACTATATGTCACAAGCACGGCGCGAAACGCGTCGGATGGGTGAGATCCAAGTTATGACAACTCACGAGAGCGCTTCCCGCGTGCGGAAGGTTCGCTGTTAAGCGTACAAAATAGAAAGTGCCGCCGTGGGCCAGTCGTCGCGCCCGCAACGGCAGCCACACGCGCACCCAACGGCGCTGTGTCTGTCCCACTACCGCGTACACCCAGCGAGAACATTCTGTCGAATACTGCATCCTGTAGGTGAGTATGGCGCACATGCAGGCGTGGAGTTACGCACGCGTGGCGATAAAGGCTTTCGCTGTCGTTTGACAGCTGAGATGTGTGAGCGAGAGCGGCGGGCTGACACCCTCGAGCGTGCGGAGGTAGCGGAAGACCATCGAGGGCTGGCAAGGACCTGCGCGTGAAAGGTGAGGCTAGGTATCATCATACAGGTGGATGTATGCGCGGACCGAATCGAAAGACGGCATGATATGCCTGCCGCCATTTCTCCTCAATCAGACGCGCACAGTTGGGAGGATCAGGGCAGGTGGCACACTGGAATAAAATGAAATTAGGAAGCTCGAGTATAGCGGCCGGGTTCGCGTACACATTGGTATTCCTTCGCAATTTGAACGAGTCCGAGTTTCAGGACGCGCTCGAGGAACCATGTCCGCCTGCAGCCTAATGAATGAGATGATGCGCGTGGTGCATGGTGAAACGTACCGCTTCTCGAGCTTAAGGAGTGTCTCCTGGCTCAGCGTGCGCAGTTCCTCGTCCGACCAGCCACCAGGGTTGTCAAGCACGAAACGGCTTGCCTCGCGGAAGAGTTCCTCCTCCTGGAACAATTCGGCTATGCGCATTGCCTTCAGCGGTCGCCCCGCAGCGTGGGTCAGCAAGAACGTGAGGCATTCTTGCTCGAGCCCAGACACGTGCAGCTTATGTGCGATGTTCATTAGACCCTCTACGTTGTTCCAGGTGATCGTGCAGATGAGACTGCAGACGTGAGGTGCGCCAGCAAATATGAACTCACGACGCTTACTGAGGATACACAAATTTCAGGAAATCGTGGAAAGTGCTGGCCTGACACGAGCGTGAGCGTAAAATCCTATGCAGTGTTTGCACATCGACACTCACTTTTTCTTCCTTTAAGATAATGATTGCATCGGGTCTCTTCTCCTTGTCCTTTGCCCACCGGTTGCGAGTGGCAGGAGGGCCTTTCCGCTCGGTGTCGATGTCGGGTGCCTTCTGTTTGCCTTGGTCCGGTTTACTATCTGGTGATGGACTGCTAGTGCCAGCGCTCTCGAGCTTGTTGAGGCTGCTCTCCCTCGCTTTTGCCTTATCCTCCTCGACCTCGTCCATGTCTTTAGTCTCTGCTTCTTCCTCATCGCCCTTGATGTCCACATCATTGTCTAGGTCCATGTCCTCCGGGTCTACGTCGGGGTCCATCGGTGCGAACGTCATCTCGGTCGTGGACTCAAGCGTCGACCGGTTCGGAACAGAGGGCGGCTGCGAGATGGTGATTACAGAGGACAAGGATCGTGGTCGCCCGGTCTCTGCCCATTCGCCGCTGAGGGCAGCCTGGAAGAACGTAGAGGCAAAATAGAGGACCTCTTTGTGCGCCCTTGAACCGAGTAGAACCAGGGCAGCGAGCCAACAGGCGGATGCACTCACCAGAAGGTGGTGGCCTCGACAATGATTTTGACATTCCCCGGGAAACGGGTCGCTTTCGTGAACGTGTCGTCGAGCTCGATGGGGTCTTCGAGGTCGCCATCGATGCTGAGGGCGGTGACCATCTCGTCGGTCTCACACTCCTCGAGGTACCACGGCGGCGAGCCTGCGGACCTGAATATGCCCGCAGCAGCGGCATGAGTCTCGGTGGGTGAGCTGAGGGACGCGGACGGGTTGATGATATTCGGACCACGCGAGTTGCGTGCGATGAGAATGTGTGGAGGATTCATCGACATTGGCAGTATAATGAGCAGAGTACAGTGATGTCGTGCGCACAATTATCCAGATTCTGGCGCAGGGCCGGAATGTATTAGCTCCAGCTCGAGAGGCTCATGCTGAACTCACCACCGCCACCCAGACCTTGTCTCTGTAAGAATTAGTGCGCTCAGGCTCGCCTTACGCCCAGTATACCGGCGGACAAAGTGAACGCTAGCGGCTAGCAGCAAGTAACCTGTACCAACCAATGTCATGATCTCCATCACAGTAGCAACTGTCATAGATAGATGTTGGGCACGTTGAGACATGGCGCTATAGTGTAGTGGTTATCACTTGGGATTCTGATTCATCGTCATCTTCCCAAAACCCAGGTTCGAGCCCTGGTAGCGCCTGAAAAACATAACTTATACTTTTGTCACTTTAATTTTGTCCTGGGTACAAATTCTCTTCTATTAATACTGGGACATATTGGACAAGATCGTACGCTTGTACCCTGTCGTAAGTCATTTTGATGTACTTCATGCTCGTTGCACGCACGCCGTCGGAGCCCGTCGAGTTATGTACTTGCTTAGTAGTAGATATCAACGGTGGACGTGAACTCGAAACCTCAAAGAACGCGATTCCAATTTCGGATCACTTGCATGTTGCAGCGGACGTTCAAACACGTGGCTGCAGACACGTCTAACCGCAGTGACACGTACGATCGAACACATTCTTGAACACTAAGGATGCCCAAACGCAAACACTCCCATCTTGCGAACCTCGGCCCTACGGGAGAAAAAGGTTAGAATAAATGAGAACAAGGACAATGTGAGTGTCCACGTGTTTTCTAGAATCGTATTTACCTCAATACAAGTTTTGTGCGACTCAGCTTGCTCCTCGTGCCAGTGACACAGCAACGGTCGAGGGAAGCCAAGTCGCGACGAATGCCAGTATCTCTGTACTCGCAGATTCACAGAGTGGTCTGGTCGAATCCAATGCCACCCCTCATCCCTGTCTTGTCTCGTCTGTTCCACATGGAGGACTCCTGACAATATTGGAGGCTCGGCTTCGGATGCTGTTGTGTCAAAGCAAATGTGCCACTGACGGGTCCGGCTCTGTGCCCCACGGAGATATGTGCGGACTCACGGGATGCAGGCGCGACCCCGACATATCCGGCAGTGCGAGCCATGTGTCGCGCTCGCGAAATGCGCGCAAAGTGGACTTGCCAGTGAAAGGTGTAGACTCGGGTGGAGGAATTGGTGTGGACTCGAGCAATGCAGGCAATGCAGAGTCGAGTACAGACGTGGATACCGAGGATGCGGACGATACCCGGATGCCTTGAGACAGCCTGTCGCGCAGGAATTCCCCTCATGAAGCCACTTTTAGAAAGCAAATCATTTCCATAGGCACTCTTGGGGTACAATTTCGGAGGGTGTAGCAACAGGTTGCAGCAAGGAAAACAAGTTGGCACAGTTGCAGCCTGCGACCCAGTAATAGTAGGAGCGAAAGAACACACAAAGCATATGATCATCAATAATAATACGAGCAGTCCGTGCATCCCCAGCGATCATTGCTTCCCGCCGGATTTGTTACTTTGCTCTTTTGCCTTCTCCGAGGCTTGGAATCGCGCGCGACCTGTGTCCAGCAAGATCGTCTCCAGGTCGCGCCAGGTCACCAGTGGGGCCCGTCTTCCTGCCGCACCATGTCCAAGTCACTCGGTACCCTCCGAGTAATCCTGATGGAGCCTCAGACGGCCCTGCGCCATTCGCTCACCAGCCCGACCAGTTAACTGCACGCGGGAGCGCGAGCCACTGGAACCAGAAGACAGATAAACAGTGGACTGTTGCTTGCTTGCACCCCGCTAGCAGGGCTCGCTTCGCGAGCCGTCCCGTCCGTGTTGCATCCTTCCCGTTGCTTCTACGGTGGGCGTGGCCGTCGCACCGTCTTCGAGCTCGATGCTGCGCGTGTCCAGCCAAGGTGCTCTTCCCGGACCCGCTCGACGCCGGGCGCACTGCCGCCTCCACACCCGCACGTCCCGCGACCTCGGGAATCGCACGTAGGCGTGATCCGGAGCGCTCGCTACGGCTCGGGGGCTCCAGGCGTGCGGGAGGCGTGTCCTTCGCCGCGGTCTTCTGCCTCTCCTTCCCCTTCCCGTGTGACGACGAGCTGCGGGTGGGGAACGTGACGAGGGGGATCTCGGCTGGTGCCGACGTTCCCGCGACGGTGGTCTTGACCATGCGGATCTCCGGCTTCGAGCTGGCGGATGTAGTCGAGCTGCCAGCTCTCCGCCCTTTGATCGAGGGGGCGGACGAGGTGGTGGACGCGCTGCGGTGCAGGTCGATGCGCCTGGGAGGCTCTGCCGGGGGACTCCGCGCGCGCCCGTCTGCTGCCGTCTGCTTCTTTGGTGCGTCAGAGACAGCCGTGGGTGCGCGGCCATCATGTCGGTCTGAGGGTTTGCTGCTTGATGCACCGGAAGAGCCGGATGACGCCGCGGACATCTTCTGCTTCTTCAGCGGAGGCTGTGCGGGAGACGATGATATTGAGATGCGTCGCTTGTTGTGTCCGGCCGTGGGTTGTATGGAAGCGTCGCGCGGAACGAGGCGGGCAGGCTCCACTACCCTGCCCTTCCCCTTGTCATTGCAGTTCTTGTTCATGAAAGTAGGCGCGGCCCACGCTCTGGGGTCATGATGAGCATATGCCGCGGTCAGCTGAGCATCCTTCCGCTCGGTAGAAGCAGCCACAGAGTCCAGAACAGAGTGAGAGCTCCCGCGAAGGAGGAGCTGGGGCTGCTCCAGCTTCGACCCAGAACTAGAGCCAGACTGTAAGCGCGCCCGCTTCTTGACACGCATGCCGTCTTGCTCCTGGGAAGCACGAAAGGACGCCTCGTTGATGAAGACATCGGGGCTAGATGGCCGCACGGGGCCGTCGGAGCTGTCGTCGCGCTCCGACGACCGAAGTACACGTCTGGCCTTCGCGCGACTCGTGCGCTCGCGCGTCTTCGCAGGCTCTTTGGGGGGCGTGTGCACGCGCGGCGACGCGGGGCGCGGGATGTCATCGCGCTCGGACCGCTCGGACGCGGCGGCGGGCGACTGCTGCGCCGCGGACATGTGCGCGTCCACCATCGACTTGGTCCGCTCGTCGTCCGAGTCGAGCTCTTCGGCCTCCGGCTCGTCTGGGACGCGCCGTGCGTGCCCGGATGTCAGGCCATCATCGTCCGAGTCGAGTTCGTCGAGCTCGTCGTCGGCGTCGTCGTCCTCGCTCTGGCTGCCACTGTCGTGTTCTTCGAGCACCACTGGTAGCGGAGGCAGAGCGCTCTGGCTAGCAGCGTCCTCGTCGATGAGACCAGTGTCGTGCGAAGGCGTGTCATGCCTCTGCACACTTGGAGATGGCGGGCCTTCCACGTGCGCAGGCGACAGAGCCTTTTCAGGACCATCCGCGTGGTTCGCGTCATCGACAGCGACGGCCAACGGAGGCAGCATGCTGCTCTTCGGCGACGGCTGCACCTCGTTGTGCGGCTGCGACCCGGAGTCTGCTCGGTTCTGGCTCTGGGCTTGTTCCTGTTCCTGGCCCTTGGTCTGACCCTGTGATCCCGAGGCATATGAGAGAGACTGTGAATAGCCCTGCGAGGCGGTGCCGGACGTGTCCGAGTTGGGCACGAGGATGCGCCCGTGGTCCGCCAGCTGCGTGTCGGGTGAGTGGCGCGTGGAGAACGGCAACGGGACTCGGCGCTGCAGGGGCGGGTAGAGCGAGCCGGTGCCCGGTGCAGGGACGGGGGGAGGTGCGGAGGAGGAAGGCACGCTAGCGATTGGAAGCGAGGGGGGAGGTGAAGAGCGGGAATTGAGCGGGGGAGAAGAGGGAACGGTGAGAGGGCGCAGCCGTTGGGCAGGTGTCGGGGGGGAGAGGTATGAAGAGAATGTGTTAGGAAGAGGTAGGTCAGTCTCTGGGACTGGGCTTGACTGTCGTGGGAGGCCTTTCTCTTTGACAAGAGTGTTCTTTGGAGAGTTCTGTTCGGTAATGTGGTGGTCTATTCCATCATCCTTCGCGGCTTCAGGAACGGTTTGGTGTGGAATAGATGGGAGTGGGCTTCCTCTGACTGACGGGCTCCAATGAGATGGTGTAGCCGGCTGCAAAGCATCGTCGTCGATGTCGAGCGGTGGCGGGGAAGCATGGTCATGCTCAGAACGTGTTCCTGGAGAGCTAGATGACATATCTAGTGGGTTCTTCCCTGCCAGTTGCAAATACTTCAGAACGGCATAGTATAATGCGACTATATGCGTACTAACTCGGTCGATATTGAGCCTTTCTGGGTGTAGACGGGCCTGCAAGAGGGGATACACCATCGCCATCCCGCAGGGTCAACGTTGTCGAAGGTTTGGAAGTTTTTTTGGTGGATTCTGACTTATCTTCGCTAGCTGCTGTAGATAGAGTCACGTCAACGATACCACACCGTCCTCATGTACAACGACGTACAAGCTATCTTCCGGAAAGTGTCCAGTATGTCTGCAGGTGGCAAGGCATATGCCCGAGCCTTAGAAGGAAATGCCTGGCACAACATATTAGGTACACGACTATATGCGTCGATGTGGCTCACTTACACGCCACTTACTCGTCGGATTCGCCTGTCGCGCAGGGGCCGTAGGAACAGGGTTTGGCGGCGGGCCCTGCGGCATCTTCTTCCTCGCACCTGCAAGCCTTACTTTCTGAGGGCTAGGCGGATGTAATATTTGTTGTGCAGCGACAGGTCTTTTCGTCACGTCTCTTGGCCCAGCCTCAGCCTTCTTCTGCTCTTGTTTGCGCAGCTTGAGAACATTGCTGGTACGGAGGACCTAAGATCATTGGGCATTCAGGAAGAAGTTTGATGCAGGTACACGTACCCACCGCCTCCATGCTCCCTCAATCCCATAACCCATTCGCGAATGTTTGGATGGTTCTCAAGATCCTTTGGCGAGCCCCACAAATCCTCCCCAAATGCGCCCCGGAGATCGAAGGCCCCTATATCAAGAACCAGCCTTTCAGTCGATGACATGCCTATTCCATCCAAGGGCACGCGTCTAAACAACGGGCAGAACTGCTTGACAGAGACGAGTGCAGATTTGTGGTCCGTGACGGATTTCCCACTAAACAGGGGGTTCCTTTCAGAATTATCACGAGTCAGAATGGTTTTCGGTTGATAAAGCGCGTAGTACAGGTTGGACGCACTCTCTGTACAGTTTCATGGCCTCCGAGTTGAGGCGCGCGGGTACGAGGTGCGTCTTGTCTGACAGTAGAGCCCAGATGCAGGCATCCGCATTGTCGCTTCTTGGGAATGTCAGAAACTGAGAGGCGACATATATCAATGATTCTGGTCCGAAGACCCGATTGTATGCGTGGTGCACCTTCACAATCTGTGCAGCCTTGGCTTTTGGTTCGG